ATTGAACTCCCAGCTTTGGAAGAGCAGGCAATGCTCTTAACCACTGAGCCATCTCTCCAGCTCTGGGTGTATCTTCTGCATGTGCCTGGTGCCCTCGGAAGCCAGAGGAGGGCATCATATTCCCTGACTAGCTAGAGCTACAGAAGATTGTTAACTCTCATGGGTCTGGGAATAGAATCCAGGTCCTCTGGAAGAGCAGCCAGCCAGTACTCTTAACCACCAAGTCCACTCTCCAGTCCCCGCACCTCTTTTTTTTTTGAGATGGGTTCTCAGGCATCCCAGGCTGGCCCCTGTTGTAATTGGAGCAGCGGGGCTGCGTCCCCAGCACCCCGGCCACCTGGCTAGCTTATGCCCCGAAATAACAACACACAAATTGTATTCTTTTAAACACTGCTTGGCCCATTATATCTAGCCTCTTCTCAGCTAACTCTCGCACCTGGACTAGCCCATTTCTAATAATCTGTGTAGTCCACAAGGTGGCTTACCAGGGAGATTCTAGCCTACGTCCATCCTGGGTCGGAGCTTCATCGCGTGTGTCTGCCTCAGAGAGCAGAGCTATTGCGTCTCTCCAGGAGAGGGGAGCATGGCGTCTCTGCTCCAGAGAGCAGAGCTGTTGAGTCTGAGCTCACTTCCTCTTCCTCCCAGCATTCTGTTCTGTTTACTCCTCCCACCTATGTTTTAACCTATCAGGGCCAACAGTTTCTTTATTGCTTAACCAATGAAATCAACAGATTGATATATGACACTCCCACATCAGGCCCCGAGCTTGCTATTGAATGACTTTGAATCCATCCTCCTGCCTTTACCTCCTAGTATTGCTCTTCCTTTCTTTTTCTCTCTTTAATGGTTCTGGCAGCTGGACCCAGGGCTTAGCATGCTAAGCATAAGCTGCCCTCTACCAGTGAATATATTCCCAGTCCTGTGCAGTCTTTTCCTCAGTGGGATCTGCCCCTCCCCCACCGTGTGATCAGAAATTTCCAGCGCTCCATGAAGGGCAATTATATAAATGAATGCTCTTAGATCCCGATAGCCACCTGGATTTTTTATCCAAGACACAGAAATCTATGTATCAAATGTGCGCCTGTTTAGGAGAGAGGCTTTTCCAAGATTGTCCTCACATCCTCTCCATGCTGCCTTGGAAGAGGGACATATGAGGAAACAGGCCTCAAAAGCAGCTAAGCCAGCATGCTAACATTGCCTCATCAGTGTGAGCCTCTCTAAAATGTGTAGCCTCATCCTGCGCTCTGGTAGGTTTCTCTTCTGTCTGCCATTTGTTTCTCTCTCTCTCTCTCTCTCTCTCTCTCTCTCTCTCTCTCTCTCTCCAACCCTCTGGTGTAGGAACCTCATACATGCTAGGCAAGTGTTCTAGGAATGAGTCACACCACCAGCCTTCAACGCCTGAGTCTTTATTTATTTATTTATTTTTCTGGAACTCACTCTGTTGACCAGGCTGGTCTCGAATTCACAGAGATCTGCCTGCTTCTGCCTCCCGAATGCTGGGACTAAAGGTGTGTGCTGCCACCCAGCACACTTTTTTTATGTTTTTTTTTTCTGTTGAGACAGGCAGCCCAGGCTGGCCTCAAACTTGGTAGGAGACCTTGGGCTCCCAATACTCCCACCTCTGGCATGTGCAAACACCCTCAGTGTAATTCTGAGTTTTATTTTTGAGGATTTTTTAAAATTTATGTGTATGAGTGTTTTGTCTACATATATGTATGTGTGTGTACCATGTGTGTGCCTAGTGCCTGTGGAGGTGAGAAGAGGGTGCCAGATTCCCTAGGCACCTCTGTCTCTATTAGATAGATAATAATATCTATGTTAGAGAGAGAGTTAATTCACATATTTAGGAATCACCATGTGGGTGCTAGGAACCAATTTAGGCTCCTCTGGAAGAGTCGGGCTCTTAAGCACTGAGCCGTCTGTCCAGCCTCTAGTTCCTGAGTCCTAACTCTTCTTTTGGGGAAGATGAACACATGGGGAAGATGGGTTCACAGACATCATTGCCCACCAGCGGCCCTCTATAGCACAGGGCTGGGCACCCAGCTTGCCCTTTATAGGTCCGGTTGGTGGACGCAGCCAAACTCGATGTTTCCGATCCCAAAGTCCATCCATTCCACAGTACACAGATCTGTGAGACACTGTTTCAGGTCTTAGGGACAACAGTGAAGGAGACAATAGTCCCTGTCCTCGTGAACCGTGTGTCATTGTTGTAGAAGGACATGAATGACATATGAGGTGTGTTAGACATTGGCAAGGAGAAAGGGAGCAGGGACGGGGACTCGGAAGGGGAGGGGTGTAATTTCTAGATGAAGGGTCTAGCCGAGGATGTGTAAAGGCCCAAGAGCAGCAACTAAGAGCCAGGGCTTTGGCCTTCTTCTTTCCAAGGAATTTTTGCCCATCCTCACCTGGGCGAGGTTTGTAATTGAATGGTGACGCTGCTGACTTACTGTCCCCAAGACCCCATAAATTTGCTGATACATCAGGGCCTCGTGATGAACACCTGTAATCCCAGGCTGAGTAGAAGGACCAAAAATTTAAGGCCTACCAGGGTTACAGAGTGAGTTTAAGGCTAGCCTGGTCAACCTAATGAGACTGTGCTTAAAAACCAAGTAAAAAGTAGATGGGTGTGATCGTGCATACTAGGCTGAGGCAGGTGAATGTCTTGCATTCGAGGCTAGCCTGGTATGCATAGCAAGTTCTAGAACAGCCAGAGCTACATAATGAAGAGAAAAATAGTAGAAAGAGGGAAGCATGCCTTTAATCCCCCACTCTGGGGGCAGAGGCAGGCTGTTCTCTGTGAGTTCGAGATCAGCCTGGTCTACAGAGTGAGTTCTAGGACAGCTGGGGGCTGGGGCTGTGTCGAAAGACCCTGACTTAAAAAAAAATTAAAAAATAAAAAATAAAGGGTTGGGGATATAGCTCAGTGATAGAGCACTTACCTGTCATGTGTAAGAGCCTGGGTTCAGTCTCCAGTACAGAAACACAAACTCATTCATACTGAGGCACTGCAACTGTTCAAAGATAACCAAGTGGCAAGAGCAAACCTCTGAAACTCCCCACAAGGGAAGACCTCGGCTCAGGAGCGGCCTGAGAGATGGGAACTTCCCCTCCTCCCTGCCTCTCTCCCCCACAGAAATTGAGTCTCACATTATAAAGCAAGAAGATATACTTAATGGCAAAGAGAATGAGATTAAAGAGTTGCAGCAAGTTATCAGCCAGCAGAAACAGATTTTCAGGTGAGGGGCCGGGCCAGGCTTGGGGGTTGCTGATGGAAGTGGGGAGCCTGACTTGGCCCCTACCCAGGGCTGTCCAGCCTACAACCAGCTGGCTCCGTTGCAGGAATCACATGTCCGACTTCCAGATCCAGAAGCAGCAGGAGAGCTACATGGCCCAGGTGCTGGACCAGAAGCATAAGAAAGCCTCGGGAACACGTCGGGCCCGGAGCCGCCAGTGTCCCAGGGAAAAATAAAATGCTGGTTGCCTTGCTGGTTTCTAAATGCAATGCCCAACTTCTACCTTCTCTATTCTGGGGAGACCAGCTCTTCCCCTCCATCCTGGGGACCCGCACAGCACTGCCTCTTCTGAGTTTAGGAGGAAACACCGCTCGGTCTCCAGCCCCTGTTGCTGTACTCCTTTGGGATAGGATAGTGCCCATGGTAATGGAGTGGGAACTGCTGCTTGATTTTGGTGGTTAGTCTTCTCCATACACAGCCCGGGTCAGCCCAGTCACACCCTGCCCGAACTTCAGTGAATGCGGTTCTCTGAGGTTGGCTGTAGGGTTAGGGAAGAATGGAGTGTGTGCATGTATGCATGCGTCTGTGTGCATGTGTGTTGGTGTAGCCCTGACTACAGACTTTAAGACTGGATTCCAGAGCCACAGGAAATCTGAGAAACCAGAAGAACCCAGATAATTAAAAAAAATGCGTATGAGCTGGACTGTGGTGGTGCACACCTTTAATCCCAGCACTTTCCAGCATTTGGGAGGCAGAGGCAGGCAGTTCGGAGTTTGAGGCCAGCCTGGTCTACAGAGCAAGTTCCAGAAGAGCCAAGGCTACATGGAGAAATCCTGTCTCGAAAAACAAAACCCCCCAAAACAACATGGGTATGCACTAGCCATCCAAACCACTCCTGCACCTTCTTACACTAAAGAACAAAAACTTCCACAGGGAGGAGGAGGCTACACAACCTTAAATCCAGAAAACAGGGAAAGGGCCCCAGCCCGCTCAAGTTGCTCAGGCAGGCCTTGTTGGGTAAGGTTAAATCCTCTCAGAAGTCTTCACTGAGTGTGCCCCTAAGTGATCTTGGGGAACTCAGGATCCACAGGATTGGTTAAGCCTGGCCTGTGCTGGGTCAGTGTGAGGGTGGGCATAAAGCTGGGCCAGTGCTCTGGCCTCAGGGTCAGCTGGGGCCTGAGTCATAGCGGGACCTTCGAGCCAGAAGTTAAGGGCAAGTGGTGTGCTATTGTCAGAGGACAATGACAGCTGGTGGCTGCTTCCCCATTAGGAAGGAAGGAATGCTGTGGGGCACCGGAATAAGGTCCTGTGTGCCTGGGACCTTAGAGGGAACCCTACAGTGGTTGGTTTGTCTCCCAGCTTTGTTCTGGGTGCTAAGCAGCTTGAGAAAGCTAGCCAGCGCCTGCCTGATTCTCCTTACCCTATCCAAGGTGGTGTATGCACGTGAGAAGTCAAGGAAGCATATGGATTGTAGCTAAGGAAACCATGGAGGAGTTTCCTTGCAATGTTAAAGAGTTGGGGGCTGAGGATATGGAACTTCAAGCTCACACCCTGACCGGCTCAGAAGTCCCATGCAAGGCCAGAGTTTTCCCACCTGTGTTAGGAGGAGTTGGGCATAACTCTTTGCTCCTTTTCAAAACTAGGCCTGTCTTCCTCTCACCTGCCTGTCAGTCTAAGTCTGGAGCCCCAGCCCTGTGTTCCACCTGTGCTGGAGAAAGTTCGGGCAAAGGGGTTTGCACCGGGTAGTGCCCAGGACTTGGGTCTCTGCTGACAACTCCGCTAGCTTCAGCGTAGACACTGGCGCTTTAAGACGCTTTGACCCCATGGCATCCCGGCGGGGCGGAGACAGTGCAGGCGCCACCAGCAGAGGCATTGCCCGGGAGGTAGTGCTAAGTGTCCTGCCCACCATGCTGACTGCGCTCGCCCCGCCAGCCCTTCCAGGGCTCTCAAGGCAGCTGCCTGCCCCTGCCCGGCGTCAGGATTCATCCGGTTCGTCCGGCTCCTACCACACAGCTCCGGGTTCTCCGGAGCCCCCGGACGTTGGGCCGGACACAGAAGGCCGGGGGACTTGGCTCTGGGTGGCCCCTGGGCGGGGGGCGGGCGCGCAGCCTGTGCTGTCCGTCAGCGCCCAGAATAGCCGCCAGCAGCACAGCTCCGGCTCGGATTTCCCGCGAGGCCCGGGCTCCGGCCCGCTGCCGCCCCGGCCCCAGCTGCGCATGCTGCCGTCGGGGGAGATGGAAGTCATCTTCGGCGCCAGGGCTCTGTTCAGCCGCTCCGACGCGGAGGATCGGGAGGAACAACAGTTCATGGCGCCTGCCATCAGCAGTCCGTTGCTGCCCGGGTCACCGTCTCCTGTGTCAGTGTCGCCGCAGCCGCAGGCCCCCGACGGGGGCTCTCGCTGGGCCACCTACCTGGAGCTGCCGCCCCGCGGGCCGAGTCCGGCCGTCTCAGGCCAGTACGAGTGTGTGGAGGTGGCCCTGGAGGAGCGCACCGCACCGGTTAGACCCCGCACGGTGCCGAAGCGTCAGATCGAGCTGCGTCCGCGGCCTCGGAGTCCCTCGCAGGACAGTCGCGCGCCGCGTCCCCGACTGCTCCTGCGCACCGGCTCCCTGGATGAGTCTCTGAGCCGCTTGCAGGCCGCCGCAGGCATCGTACAGACGGCGCTGGCCAGAAAACTGGGCTCTGAGGTCCCGGCCCCCAGCAATGCCACTTTTAGATCCACGGGGAAACCAGAACCCACGACGAATCCTCGGGAAACAACACGCAGCACCCGTGTGGTCCCGGAAGAGGTCAAGTCTCGGCCACCCCGCGCACAAGATAGTTCTGTCCACACCAAAGCCCCGCGGCCTTGGCCCAGTCTCCGAGAGCGAGCAATTCGGCGGGACAAGCCGGCGCCTGGGACCGAGCCGCTGGGACCTGTTAGTTCCAGCATCTTTCTGCAGTCAGAGGAAAAAATCCAACAGGCTCACGAACAGGAATCCAAGACTCAGTTCCCTCGTGAGACTCCCGATAGAATCGTACCGAGAACACGAAGTCCTCCCTTCCATTCTAGAAGCTCCCGAGTGGTTCCCAGTAGGGTTGTGAGACCAAGGAGCCCATCTCCTCCGCAGCAGACTCCAAACGGGGCCCTGCGGAGTCCTCGGTGCCCGTCCCCCCAGAACCTCTCACGACCTCATAGGACTGTCTGGAGAATGGGCAGTCCGTCCTTCCCTGAAGCATCTTCTGAGTGGGAAAATCGGAATGAGGCCGTAGAGGACTACAGCAGAAGGAGCCCTTCCCCTCCACCTCTTTCACAATGGACTCAGGGTGTCGCTAGAGTTGGGAACCCAGGTCCCGAAACTCCTTCTCTGTGGAAGGTTCCACATTCGACAGGTGGAGATGCTATAGGGCTGAGTAGGGACCGGTCCTTGCCAGCCCTGCTCCCACAGGAGTTACCTGATCATCCTATTGAAACGAGTACCCCATCGCCCCGAGAGACATGGGGTCCTATTGTGCAGGGCTCATCGACGGTATTGCGTCAGGAAGCTATGAATGGCCTAACTCAGGAGTTGGAGCCGCCTACACCACCAGCCCCCGGGACTCCAGAACTCACAGAGGCGCAGTGTCTGCTCACCCCGGAAAATGCGGATAATGCCTTCAAAGGCAGGCAGCCGTCTCCAGTTGTCGATACACCGGAACCTCCCGGAAGTCATCTCACAAGCATCCTAGACGACGATGTGTGCCCAGAAGCCTTGGCCTCGGGAGAAGCAGCTTCTGGACGGTCGCGCGTGACTATTCCGCGGCCGCGAGACGTGCGCAAGATGGTTAAGACCACTTACGCGCCAAGCTTTACCGCGGGAACCCCAAGTTCCGGGCTTCCCGCGCCTTCTGCTGACACCCGCGGGGAGGGCGATGCATCCAAAGCGCAGGAGCTCCCGGCGCTGGAGTCGCCGGCCCCGGCTCATTATACTTCCATTTTTCTCAAGGACTTTCTGCCGGTAGTACCTCATCCCTACGAGTCTCCAGAGCCTTCACTCCATGCGACCCCTAAGGATGTCTCCCACTCCAACCAGGTCCCGAGGCGGAGGGCAGAGAATAACACCGCTAAGCCTTTCGCTCGCAGTGAGATCCGCTTGCCTGGCGCTCTAGTCTTGAGCCGCCGGCGGGAGAAAACCCCAGCTGTCCAAGGATGCGGTCCTGGGGTAGAAAACCTGGATGCTGAGGCCCAGTGCCTGGTCCCAGACCACGAGGGTCGAACCAGTCCCTTAGGAGGCGCTCACACCTCAACCGAGTGGTCCCCTTTAGGATCAGCAGGGACCCAACCTCCTCACCTCGGCTCCCCGCAGGCATGTCCCAACTCGAGCCTTGGGACAGCACCCGAATTGGAGACACCACTTGTGGCTCCTGCAACGGCGGTCCAGGCGCCCCTCCCGCGGGAGCCTCAGGCGACAGCGACCAGGACCGCTGCACCCCTCCCGCGAGCTGCCTCTGCGCCTCCCACGGATCGACTCCCTCCTGCATCCACCCAGGGGGCGCGGAGGCTTCCAGGAGCCGCGTCACCAGGAAAGGTCCTCGTAGACCCGGAGAGCGGTCGCTATTACTTTGTGGAGGCTCCGCGGCAGCCGAGGCCACGGCTACTCTTCGACCCCGAGAGCGGGCAGTACGTGGAAGTGCTGCTGCCGCCCTCGCCCTCTCTTTCCCGGCCGCCACGACAAGCCTACACCCCGCTGGCCCTAGGGCCGGGCCTCTACCCGTCGGCCTATGGGCCTGTCCCTGGCTCGTCACTGACGCCGCCGTCCCCCAATCTCCCGGCCCTTGGCAGTCTCCAGCTACCCTGGACCCCTGAAGCCGGGCCCCTGGAGGGGATGTACTACATGCCCTTGAGCGGGACCCCCAGCCCGGCTCCACCGTTGCTCTTCTGTGCCCCGCCCTCCAGTTCCGGTCCCATCCAGTCCAGCAAGGGTTCCGTGTTTCCTTTGTGAAGCCTCAGGTCCCGGTCCCCTTGGAGTTGTGTTCCCTAGAAAGCTTTGGGAGTTCTGGTTCCTAGTCACTTAATTTTCCCTCCTCAACTCTTTGGCTAGTTCCAGCCAGTCCCCAGACCAGATGTGACCTTAAGAGAATGTATCTGCTCCCTGGGCTGACAATGCTGGATCATCATTAACAAATGCCTGGCTGCCTATGTCCCGTGTCCCCCCCCGCCCCCTACCCCCCCCCCCGCAACAAAAATCTGTATTCCTTTCCCAAACCTTCCCAGGGTGTGGTGTATGTGTGTATGCAGGCAAGCAAGTATGTCAAAGTGAGACCACCAAGAGTAAGATGTTGGGGTTTCCCAGAATGGCGGGTGTGGGAGTAGCAGGGCCAGGGCTGCCTGTGGTGATGGTGAACTGTTGGTCTCTACCTAACACCGGGCCCCAGTCGAGTGGGCAGGACAGTGGGTGCTGCAGAGATGGAGGGGATGGGGGACAGCCATCAAATCTGGGTTTGAGCCTTGCTCTGGAAGGTTTTGGGAGAACGCAATGAGGCCCCGGCCCCCGCTCAGGGCTGAGAATGGCAGCTGTAGGGATAGTATGTGAGGTGGAAGATGGATGTTGTATAAGGACGTGGAGGGTCGGCTTGGAACTGCAAGTCCCAGGATCGCTGTGGTCCCTGTAAAGACAGCCAAAGGGACAAGCAACTCCTTGGCAGAAAGGCCTGCAGAAGGCGCTAGGAAGCGAGAAAGGGGAGTGACATTGTTCTTTGGGCTTTCTGTTGATTGCTAGGGGTGACTAGGTACAAGGGGTGAACTAAAGAATGTCACGTGATCAGTAAATACTTCTCTTGGCCAGCTATTCCTGAAGGCTGACAGGGCAGGGAGGACAAGGATCTAGAAAAATAAATTAGTTTTGGGAGTTGTGGTTGTTTAACCAAAATGGAAAGGCAATGGAAGGATGAGGGCTAACAGTTCACAGCATGGAGCCTAACTCCTAACTCATCAGGCCCCAGTGTCTGTCTTCTGTGAGCCATCCGCACCCAGGCAGGAGGCAAGTGAGTTGAATCTCTAAGATGACAAGAGGGGAAGGCTGGGGTTTAGCATAGGGGCATGCTCTTGGTGTGTAGAAGGGAGGGCAGAGCTAGCAAAAGAAACCCAGGTGTGGTGGTGAATGCCTTTAGCCCAGAACTTGGGAGGCAGAGGCAGGCAGATAAATCTCTGTGAGCTCCAGGCCAGCCTAGTCTACAAAGTGAGTGTGAGTTCCAGAACAGTCAGGGCTACACACAGAGAAACCCTGTTTCAAAAGACCATTAAAAAAAAAAAAAAAAAGAACTGACAAGGGGCAGAAGAAGGATGTCCATGCAGAAGCAACAGTGCCCAACAGTGCCCACACAGGGACTGGCCCTTCAAGCTGCTCACAGCCCAGGGAAGCCCCAGACCTGTGCTCCACCTGCCCTGAGGTAAACTGAGAGATGGAGCACGTCCCTGTGGGATGGGAAGTGATCTCTGTAGATTTGAGCCTGAAGTGACTGGACCTTGCTGGAGGGTGTTTGGAGAGGGACAGTTCCCACTAGAAGCAGGGTCAGAGCTGGCGATTGATAGCGTTCTGGTTCCAGGCCTATGCAACTAAGATCCCCCAGATCCCCTACCAGCCTTGCCCTGGACTGGAAACGGCTAAAACACTAAATCAGAATAGCCTGAACATCTCTACCAACGATTCTGATCCCCATGGCATAGAGGGACCAGGCCACCCCCAGAGTGCATCGTCTTGTCCTGGTGTGCAATAAATGGCTGGCCATGGAAAGCCATGGTGACTGTGATAACAATCAGTGTATGATCCTTATTTCCTGCTGCCATCCTTAAAACAAAACAAAACAACCCACTTTTCCCTGGAGTGGTGGTACCCACCTTAAATTCCAGCACTTGGGAGGCAGAAGCAGGTGGATTTCTTTGAGTTCAAGACCAGCCTGGTTTACAGAGCAAGTTCCAGGACAACCAGGGCTGTCTCAAAATAGCCATGTAAAAAACACTTAAAATTCTGTATTTTTATTTGTGTTTACCTGCATGTATGTATGTATACCACATGCATGCCCATGAAGACCAGAGGGTATTGAACCCCCTGGAACTGGAGTTGCAGATGGTTGTGAACCACTATGTGAACGATGGGAACTGAGTCCAGGTCCTCAGCAACAGACGCATTTGTTCTTAACCACTAAACTTTGGTCAGTTTGTCGCTTCCCTCCCCCACCCCCCCCACCCCCGACAGACAAGGTTTATCTGCATAACAGCCCTGGCTGTCCTGGAACTCACTCTGTAGACCAGGCTGGCCTTGAACTCACAGAGATCCACCTGCCTCTGCCTCCTGAGTGCTGGAACTAGCTGGGACTAAAGGTGTGCACCACCACACCCAGGTAGCTTGCTCCCTCTTAACCCCGACAAAGCCCTTCCATGCCTGGCTCTCGCCTGGGTGAAGGGGACTCTGCGGTCAGAGAGAGATCATGTATGCTCTCACATACTGCGGTTGCCAACCTCACCACAATGAGAACCCTAGGCTGGCAACAACCATGCCACGTCCCCCCTGGTGGCTGAGTGACCTAGAGGCACTGGGGACTATTCTCATCATGGCTCCTCTGGTAGAAGGATATGTCTCTTCTCTCTGAGCTTTCACATCCTCACAGTAGAATAAAGATGACTGTAACCGACTGCCTCACCCCCAGGGTGTTCAGCACAGTCCCTGCCACTCGATCAGGTCACAGTCAGTATTGAGATCCGTCGCCCTCCCCCCCACTCCTGGGTCAGCCTAGAACCTCTCTTTGCATCTTCATCCCCTATCTATGAGATGGAGCTCAGTCCGCGGGAGCCAGGGTCCCCCTGTGGAAACTGCATACGTGTCACCTCCAGGACCCTGGGGGAGGGGAAGAGGACAGTGAGGTGTCGGTTCCCTATTGGCCTGAACCACAAATAACTCGAATGCACAGCTGCACCCCAACAGCAGTGCACCCTCCATGAAGTAACTTCAGAGGCCATGAGGCTGGCCCTGCCATTGCTGCTACTGTTCGGGTGCAAGGCCACCCTGGGAAACCTCGGGGACAGGCCTCCGCTCTCAGCTACCGCTCCAGTGCTGGATGACGAGGAGAAGTATGCATCTTATATGCCTGTTCACCTGCGCTGTGATGCCTGCCGGGCTGTGGCCTACCAAGTAAGTTCTGCCCGTCCCCCAAAAGTCCTGGCTCAGACCACTCCATCTACTGTAAACTCCATCATTGGCCTTTAATCCCCAGCCCGCAGCCCCAGCAGCCATCTCTCCATGACATCACCAGCCTCCTACACTTGAATTGCCCTGCCTCAGTTTACACCCTTGCCTGGTTACCTAGGAGCGGCCAATCTCAGGTGCCCGCATCTTGTCACCCCAGGGAAACATTCATCCTCTTAGATTCCTTCTCTGTAGTCTTCTTGGACTCAACACCCTCCCCAGGCCCCGGAAGTGCCTTTACTTCATGTATGTTGGGTACATGTGTATCTATGTGAACCCATCATACTTGTTGCTCCCTCAAGCATGCCTATGTGACCATGTTTCTGTATGTACGCAGGGTGGATGAATACATGTGTTATTAAAGACTGGGCTCTGGTTATTTTATTTATTTATTTATTTATTATTATCTTTATCACTGGCTTTCTTTGTTCTTGTAGTTTAAAAATAGCACATGCTACCGGGCAAGCATGCCCTCAAAGAGTGGCCTGGTCTTTCACACAGCATTTCCTCCCCTGCCTGAAGTGCCCAGCCCAGCTTTGGGGCCTGGGCCAGGGTGGGGAGGGGTGGTGAGAGGTGGTGGGGAGGGGAGAAGGAGGGGTGCTGCAGCTTGCCTCACAGGTGCTTCCGGCTCAACAGCGAGCGCCTTGGCCACCTCAATCTCCCCAGAGACTTGGGTGTCTGTCCTTTCCTCCTTCCCACAATTGACAGCAGCCCCACGGTCCTAGCTCTCAGCACCTCCTCATTCCAGATGGGGCAACATCTGGCAAAAGCAGAAGCTAAATCTCACGGTCCAGACTCCAGTGGACTGCAGGAGCTGAGCGAGTCGGTATACACAGATGTCCTGGACCGGACCTGCTCTCAGAACTGGCAGTCGTGAGTTGCCAATCCAGGCCCTACCACTTTCTTAAGGGAAAGGGCTGGTGGGTACAGACCTCCTTCCTCCCTTTGACACCACATGCCCGGTCTGCGAAGGCTCTGGCCTCTGGCCTGAGGGAGGAGGTTGACTGGGCTGAAATCCGGGAAGTGCAGCTCTTGGGGGCAAGTTGGGGAGCAGATGGCAGCAGAAAAGTCACTGTGAGATCTTGGGCCTTGAATTTAACCCAGTCTGAACCCAGCAAAAACTCAGTGTACTTAGGATAGAAGCAAGTCCCTCCTTGGCCAGGCCCTCATTGATCCTCTATCCTTTGCTTCCCACTGCCGCCAGCTATGGAGTTCAAGAAGTGAACGGGATGAAACGTCTCATGGGCCCAGGACTCAGCAAGGGGACAGAGCCTAGCATCAGCGTGATGATTACTGGGGGTCCCTGGCCCAATAGGTAATTACAGGGTGGGGAAGGGGTCCCTGGAGTCCTGGCTTCCCCCCATCATCCCTATGGGTAGGTTAGGGTTCAAGGTACCTCTTGCTCTCTTAGGCTCTCCACGATGTGTTTCGAGTACCTGGGAGAGTTTGGAGAGGATCAGATCTACGAAGCGCATCTCCAAGGCCATGAGGCCCTGGAGGCCTTGCTGTGTGGTGGCTCTCAGGGTTCCTGCTCGCTGGAAAACCCAAGAGAAGAGCTTTAGTACAAGTGGTACACCTGCGGATCTTCTCTCCCTATATATATATTTTAAATTAATGGTTGCTTGGAGACAGGGTCTCATTGCATAGCACAGGCTGGCCTTGAACTCATCACATAGCACATGCTGGCCTCAGCCTTGGAAGTGCAGCCATGACTCTCCTGAGCCTTTGGCCCTATTCCTTCAGCAGTGGTAGTGGGGAGGGGGCAGGGAAACCTGGGCCTTATTGTCAGTCTTCTTCCTTCCTCCACCCCTCTTTGGGGCAATGGGGGTTTCTACTTTCAAATAAAGCTCAGTGACTTTGAAGTCTCCATAAAGGGGCTCGGGGATGGTGGGACAGACATGGGAGTCTCTGTTGAAGGCCTTCCCATAGCGCGGGCCACATACATAGCACTCTACCCCCCTAAAAGACAGCTGGCGCGGCTGGAAATGGAAGCAAGCGAGGAAAGGATCCAGACACATGGATCCAGTCCAGGGCCAAGCAGTCCAGGCCTTTGGATCCCTCAGAGGGAAGGTGCAGCCACCTTGTGGCCACCGAGGCATGGACTTCTTACTCTCTGTACTTGCTTAGACAATGGAAGCTCAATCTAAGTAGCAAGAGAACATGAGGACATGACCGCCTCAAGGCATGGTTGAGAAGGATTTTATTGTAGATGTGAGGGAGAAAACAGCCAGAGGCATCTGGAAGAGTCCAGACTGAAATGGGCCAAGAGAGGACATGGGGGCGGGGGAGCGAGAGACACTGGGAGAGGCGCAAGAAAGGGGACCAGGAGCCAAGAGCGGAAGACCAAGAGAACGCACGTGGTCAAGATGGCAGATTTATATGGGAATGAGAAGCTGGGGGAAGGGAAACCCAGCCCCTGGGCTGGAGAGGTTTAGGGTGGGGGGCAGGGTGGGCAGTGCTGCCAGGAGCCATGAGGCTGTGCCGGAGTTTCTTGGGGACCTGACAAGCAACAGACCCAGTCCTGTCTGGGCTGGGAGGGGCTTCAGACTTTGAAGGTAGGAGCAATGTTGGCTGCTGGAGGAACTGGGGTGTCTCAAACAAGCTTGACCGTGTTGGTTTCCTGCCTCTGCCGCCAAAGCAGTTACATCATCACCTGCTGCCAGGTGCTTTCTGCCCATCAGCTATGCGACATGTGCACCCCCTAAAAGTGCCCCCCAGCACAGCTCACCCTTTCTCTTCTTTCCTCTTACCCCTCTTGTTCCTCTCTCACCTGTTTTTTCCTGTCTTACCTCGCTTGTCGCTTGCTCTTCTTCTCTGTTCCTGCTGGCCTCTGTCACGTCCCCACTCCAACACAGCCCTTCACTCTCCCCTCCCCCAGTAAACCTACTGCACTAACTCTGCTGCATAGTGTTTGCTTAGTGGCATACCTTGGCAGGGCCTGTGGAAAGGTACCCACTTCACCTTTCTTTTTATTTATCTTTACACTGGGTACTGCTCTGGATCCCTAGTGCCCTACCGAGTGGATTAATTCATAAAGGAAGGGAAACACAGCAGCTTCCTCTTGGATTGATTTGACCAAGATTGAGCCAAGTTTGAATTCTCCATTTCTCTCCCTGTACCTTCCAACTGTGCATAGTCAGGCTTCTGGTCTGCCAGGAATCTGTCTGCTGTGTGTGTTTGTGTTTAAACTGTGCCTGTCCCCTAACACAAGGGCCTCACTGTATTTATTGTTTGTTTTTGAGACAAGGTCTCTCTGTGCAGCCCTGGCTGTCCTATAACTCACCAAGATCCATTTACCTCTGCTTCCCCAGTGCTGGGATTAAAGGTGCAAGTCACTAAACTGGGCCAGGAATGAGGGATTCTTTACAGAAATCTTTAACAGTTTTACAAAGAAAAGTCACTTCACTGCTTCCACGTGACCTGGATTAGTAAACACAGCTGCAAATAGATGCGCTCAGCCTGTAACCACGATTGTGGACTGTTTGCAAGGTGATTCGTGGCTATTGGTTTTGAGGGTTCTTCTAACCTGCTGGCTGTTTTCAGTAAATAATTGTCGCTACAAATGCATGCACACACACATTATTTTCGGTCAGGGCATTGACGGGCACAGAACTTCAGATTAAAGGTATGCGTTGGTTTGGATTGTAAAAGCTGATGGCATGGGAAATCCAAGGTGAGTAAGGTTGGTTACAGCACTCTCCTAAAGGCGGGTTAAACTCAAGCAGGCTGAGCGAGGACACAGGACAGCACGTTAACTATAGGGTCTTAAATACCTCAAGGGGTGTTATTAACTTTGCTGTGAGGATTGCCCAAAGTTCAGTCTACTGAGTCAAGAAATATCTTTATACAAACGTATCACTACCTTCCACATCCCACTGATAGGGTCTGGGAGTCTGTTTTTTTTTTTTTGTTTGTTTGTTTGTTTGTTTGTTTGTTTGTTTTTCAAGACAGGGTTTCTCTGTAGCTTTAGAGCCTGTCCTGGAACTAGCTCTTATAGACCAGGCTTGCCTCGAACTCACAAAGATCCGCCTGCCTCTGCCTTCCGAGTGCTGGGATTAAAGGCGTGCGCCACTATCGCCCAGCCTGTTTTTTATTTTTCTTTTTGTTTTCCAGTTAAAGAATTAAAAGGCAGGGGGAAAAAATCTTGAATGCAACAGGGAGCAGCAGAGAAATCTGGACCCCTACAAGCAGAAGCAGATAGACTCGGCCATTGTAGAAAGGCATATGTTGTGGTTAGGGAAACACACGTGCAGTAAGCACATGAGAACAGTTCCCTCCAAGAGTGAAGGGGCCTTGGGAGGCTGAAAATCCAGTCTTCTTGAGGCTGAGACTTTTAAGTCCCTGAAGAGTTTTCCTCCCCTAGGGTCGGTCAGTTTGAAGAGAAAGAAAGGATGGCTGTTGGCTCACGACTGTTGTTTTGTTGTTTTACATTGTTATGCCCAGATGGTGGAGTCCCCAAAAACCCACCATGGCGTCCGCACTTGTATACAAAAACAAGGAGCCTTTATTGGACCTTCTGTCCATCCCACATAGCGGTGAGGCTGGAGCACGCCAGGTCTGGGTGGGGAAGGTTGGAGGTGAGGGGATTTCCAGGGTTCAGACTGACTGACATTTGTCTAGGGGTATCTTGGCAAAAGGGTAATAAGGTGTGTGCTGAGCTCGGGGACATCTAGTGATCTTATTTAATGGTTGCAATGTCCCTTCAGATGCTGTCCCTCCCTGGGCGGTGCCAGTTTATGGCTTTTCCCTGCCTGCCGCAAACTGAATCTCAGGTTTTTATTAAGCCTGTTGTGGCAACAGTGTGACCAAACTGTCCTGGGCCCCACAAACATGGTCTGTAAGCAGCCTCTAACTTGTCAGCCAGTCCATCATCAGGAGGTCTGCTGGCAGAAGAAAAAGCCCACACGACCTTTGTTTTAAGTGGGAAGGCTTTTTTTGTGTCAGGTCAGAAGGGTAAGAAAGAAGTCAGTCATTTTGGAAGTCCGTCGCCTTTATTACCTAGTGATGGGCCCCTTCCTATCTGTCTGCCTACCATGGAATATGTCTGTTAGGGGCATAAGTGAAACCATTTTGTCTGACTTGGAACAATGCAGTGCCTGCAAGAGGAGGTAACCTCAAGGCCTGGCAGACTTTGATAAGCTAATAAACCGAGTCCAACCCATAGGCTAATGAACCAGCCTCAAGAGGTGAATGCTGATGGTGCAAATCTAATGCCCACCGGACAATACAAAAAAACTGGAAATTTGGAGGTGACCGAGGATTGCGCCAGGGTGCTCCTCAGTCAGTTGGTTCAAGCCTCTGTGCTGATTCTCATTGGCAAGGGGGCTCTGAGACCGGCCACTGTGTAACTCTGGCATCAGACTGTCGAGTTCCCTGCACCGTTGCTGAGTTCACACATGCTCTCCGGTCAGCACTAGCCGCTGACCGGAGCTCTCAACGACCTTCTGGAACCTTCAACAGTGCCATTCTCCCATCATGCCACAGATTACGCACCTCATGGTGGATGCCAGGTGAACTTGCAAGCTGCTGAGAAGTTCTAACTGGAGAATTCCCTAGTGGAACGTTAGCTGCCGGATGACCAACCCGGATAGATGAGATGTCTGTTTACGTGAGAACAGCAAGGTGTTGTAAGGGATGATTGTGTGGCTAACTGAGCATATTTGGCCGGCAAATCTGGGGTGGACATTCTAATTGCTGAGCACTGGGTATGCTGTCTGCAATGTCTAAGTCCTAGTCCAGCATCTTCACTTGCCCTAGGATATACACAGTGCCACCTTCTTCCCCAGCCCTCTCTCTAGAGAGAAGCCGCAGAAACCAGAAAACCAGGGCCCAGGTTGCTGGCTGGACCCTCAGGAGTGTGAACTGTGGGTCTGTGCAGGTGCCTGTGATGAGGGCCCAGGTGATACTGGCTGATGTCACCATGGAAATCTGGAGTCCCTGCTCGGTTCTTAGTTTTGTTGTTAAAAGGAATGGAACTGTTTGGGAAGGCTTAGGAAGTGTGGCTTGTTGGAGGACATGTGTCATGGGGGTGAGCTTTGAGGGTTCCCAAGCTATGCGCTGTCTCTCTGTCTCTCTGTTTCTCTCTCTCTCTAGTGGTTTGAATATGAATGGCTTCCCCTAAGGTCATATATTTGAATGCTCAGTGGCCAGGCTACAAAGGTGTGGCTTTGCTGGCGGAGGTATGCCAGTGGGTACGTCCGTGGAGTCTTTCATGGGTCCACACTAGGCCCGGTGTTTCTCTCCGCCAGCTGCCTGCAGATCAGGATGTAGAGCTCTCAGCTTGTGGCCCAGCGCCATGCCTATCTGCTTCCTAACAGAAAGGTATAACCCCTCCCCATTTGGGAGCCTAAAAGCACAAGCCTGCTTTCCCTGACACTCCGTGAAGGGTTAATTACCTACAAGCCTCAGGTGTACTGAAGTTCCGGGCAGGAGGGTTGACCTTACTGATCACACACTTGGAAGCACACCAAAACCGCTGGCATCTACCACCTCCAGCCCGCAGTGGAGCTGGCTGAGCAGATGGACTCTGCCTTCCCCAAAGATACTCCTTTGCTCTCCTATAAAAGCCCAAGGTCCCACACACTAGATGCCCAGCTGTTCTGATTAAAGAACAATTCTGCTTCTGGAGAGGGACTGCCTGCTTTTCCTTGCTGCTTCAGTTCATGATGCATGATGTCTCAGCTGATCGTCAGTATCTGCCAGGATTCCAAAAAAGAAGGCTCCAGGGCCAGGGAAGGACTGGACTTGCCAGTGAGAGCAAAAACAAGCAGGCAAAGAGAACAAGCTTCCTTCTTCCACGTCCTCTACATAGGCTGCCAGCAGAAGGTATCGCCCACATTAAAGATGGATCCTGCCACCTCAGAAGATCCAGAA